CGAGAGGCCAGTCTATTGTAACCCTGTAGTAAACTATGATAGAAAATTCTTTGTCAGGACAAGGTTTACACGTTTTAGACACTGCTAAACTCGGCCCTCCAAGAAACCGAATAAGAGACCATATACACATCTAAATGGCAGGCTAAATAGTGACTAAGAGTCAGATTAATCATCAGGTCATCAAAGTCCTTGTTTTTCTCATCGACCTTAGCGCAAGGATCGGTTTGCTGAAGAATTCGTGCTTGAAGGTGGGAGACCCAGAGGGGTTTGGAAACCCAATGGAGCAGAAGCACGATTTGCAGGACTAGAACCAGCCTGCCCGGCTGTTGAGGATCGACAAACGCCAGATCCTGGTGAACTTGCATTGGAACTTGCAGTAGCAGCTGATGCAGCAGCAGCAGCCTGCATGAAGGCAGCGAGAGCCTGCTGAATTTGCTGTGGTTGCTGTTGTTGTTGGGATTGGTGTACTTGGTGAACTCTATGCGCAGAGTTATTTCCAGGCAGAGAATTGTTGCCGCCTCCAAGGCGGCGCAAGTACTCAGCAACAGCAGTCGCAGCATACGCATCCAGGCCAGCAGAACCGGTAGCGGATGTCTGTATTGGGGGTCCTGATGAAAAAGAGGATCCGGAAAGACTAGAAGAAAGAGAGGAAGCCAACGAAGAAACCGGCAAGCCTCCTATGCACGACGAAGCTGGTCCAGAAGGATAGGCTGGGTGATGAGAAGGGGCAACGAAGAGAGAAGTTTGATGGTGGTTGTGCTGTGATTGTGCAGATGGTGAATGATGATGTTGATGATGAGGAAAAGAGTGGAAAGGAGGAAGAGGAGAGGCAGGTGGTGGTGGATGTGCATGTGGAGAAGCAGAGCGAAGGGAAGAAAGCGAGTGCACATGAGAATGATGAGGATGTAGTTGCAACCCCGAGTGGCCATGTGCATTAGTATTTGTGGTGGAAGCTGTTGGAGCAGTTCCACTAACATGGCAGTTCACAATAGTACTGCCACCAGCTGGAAGAACTGAAGAAGCCATAGATGATGGTGGTATAGAGGAAGAAGCAGACGAGAAGCTTGGCATGGAAGAAGTAGAAGAAGATCCCTGTGGGTTCATAAACCCTGAAGCAACAGCCGCGGCACGAGCGCCAGCAGCTGCTAGAGCCATTCCCAAGGCGTTGGCGTAAGAGGGATCCTGTGGAAAAAAGAGAAAATATAGATAAGAAGCGTGAATCGACATTAGAACTATGAATAGACGATAACAAAATCCGAATAGCATTAAGGTAAGCGAAATGCCTTGATCCACCTGAAGAGGCGTTTTGCTATAGCTCTCATTTATAATTGCTTGGAATTATTATATAACTTAAAAAAATAAAATCTTAGCTTGTGGTTATATTGCTGTCCTGAATTTCAAGAATATTAAAAAGCGAAAAAGAGATTCATTAAACAACCGTGGCATCCAGAACATAAGCAAAATTTCTTTGGAAGATAGTAGGACGTTGCAAAAGACAAACCATTCTCTGTGAACTTTATAAACATTGTTATTTGATCTAGATAAGTTCGTAATAAGACTATAACGAAGAGGATGCTGGTTTCGAATAATCTCCTGAGATAATATTGATGAGAAGACTTTCATTTCGTATGGAAGTACATGATGAAGAGATTCGTGGAGCAATCTCATCAAAAGACATCGGCTGATTCGCGTCGTACTGCAGCCGTTTGGCCTTAATACGACGTTTGGGTTAACGTAGTCAACGAGAAATCCTCCAACGTTTCGGGCGAAGACGGACTGAGCTTACGTTCGTCATGACACATGACGAACATCGTTAGAGCTGGGACTCATTCTTGTAAAAGCCTCAGGTTAACACTAAGTCAAGAAGACAAATCGGCTTTTTTCTATAAAATATATAAAATTATTGTGATAAAAAGGTAAGGTGTAGACGGATATACAAAGGCTTGATCTGTTTATGTTAACGTCTGTAGGTAAAACCGGTCATAACTAAAAAAAAAGTAGAAAAAAGCTTAACATCAGTCCTGGGTCATCAAAGCTTAATGACCCAAAGAAAGCGAAACGGCTGCAGTACGAGCGAATCAGCCTATGTCTTCTGATGAGATTGACTCAGGAATCTCTTCATCATATACTTCAATACGTAATAAACTTATACTTGCTACTGGTGTTCGGCATATCTTTCATCCTATATGTGGTTATAAGCGCTAAAATGAGGGAACCATAAAGCAAAATACTACAGTAAGAAATAAATGGAGTTGGTTTAACACAAATATATAAATATATAAATATATATATATATATGCCCATAACTTCAACTCCTAGCTCAATCGTACATGCCTTATATCAGCCTTTAAACTGACTGACCTGAGTATCGCTAGAGAACCTGGAAGTTATATTTAAAGGAATAATAAATGAAATATAGTAATATAAATAGTATTGGAGAAATCATTTATGTTGGCTGCTCAAAATTAAAAGTAAAGGGAAATTTCACAACTTTATGATAACTACAGAGATATATTCTTTATCATCTCATCCTCAATGTCGTGCTAGTCTATTAGAATTTTCCCATGATGGACTGCAATTTCGAACTAGCCTAGATCTTATCAACACTCCCAGCGAGACTCTAACCACAACAGTGCAGCATGTAATCTCAACACATTAACTCACGATCCAAGTCCCTCTGAAGGGTTTAATAAGATATAGGCGAGATCATTGTAGGCAAAATAAATCCCCATTAACCAAATAAGCATAATTGAAAAACTTTGGCTTTATGATTCTTTTTTAGCGGTTTTACTAATAATTATATAAATACTATCGGTGCTATCCTCTTGGTTGATAATTTCATCATATTGATTTACTTAAAAACTATTATCTCACGCTTTGATGCTAATCTTGGTGCAGATAAATAGTTTTGATAAGAAGCATAATGCTGTCGCTGATGCGGCAGCTTATGTCATGATTTGCATCAATTTGGATGCTGTGCCGTTTTAGATTAGACAACAGATATTGATGTGATTCTTAGTAAAAAATGAAGACTTTCATGCTATTAATAAACTGTCCTTGTTTGAAGCTTTTGTTAATGCGGTTAATCAAGTTAGGGCTTTTGTTGTTGTTAGCGCTTAATTGCTTTGATC